GACGAGGCCGCTTTAGCGTATCTAGACAAGTTCGACCGGCTCAAGATTTAGTATTATTATTATCTTTTGTTATTTAGTTTCCTTTTGTTATTTATTTGATGTCCTTATTTATCATGTCTAGTTTAGGAAATAAATAATCCTCTTGCACTTGTTAAGCAAGAGTAGGACTCTTTTCTTTATTTAGTGAACAGAAAGATGAAATGTGATTCATTCATCGTTGAAATAAAAAAAACTATCGTTCTTCTTCTGCAAGAGAGTATCTCTTATTTACAAGTCTTGAGAGAGTATCTCAAGCATCCCAAGCACACGTTCTACATCACATAGCCAGAGTTTGAATCATGTAGTGTGTGTGTGTGTGTGTATATAGAATGTATGTATTGACAACATGAATGTTCAGTGAAAAATTACACTCTTGCCACATTTAGATATTAGGATTATCCTAAGCTTAAGGCAGCATGATGACATCAAATCCATGAATAATTGAATATTTTCAGCTCACTGTGTTTGTATTGTGCTATTTTGAATAATATCTGATTCAAACCAAAAATAATATGATTAACTCATTTGGTGAAACAAATAAATAAATAATATGATTATCAGATACCCATGGGGTTTATATAACTATTTTATTTCAGGTAAGTCCCTTAATAGAATGAAATATATAAAGATAAAACAGAAGTGTGTGTCAAGAAATTATTTGGTTATATATATTTTTTTGTTTTGGTAATTAGGTTAAATGTAAATGATGTCATTAGCAATTATCCATAGCTAAAAAATAAATGAATAAAGGGGCCAACAGGTAAAGCATACATCATAATTAAGGAGTCAAGCTCTTTACATTGTGGAAAAAATTACCACAATTTGTTTACATAAATAAAATTCCAAGTTCACTTGTTCATTAACAACACTCATGCACTTAGTACCATAGAAACAACTGAAGAAAGCTTATACTTGAATGGTTTTTTCGAGTTTTGCGGTTGAAACAAAACCTCCGAGCTCGAACTAACCGCACTTTCTTGCCAATTCGAAGACCGATAAGGTCCTCCTGCACGATAGTCACGAGGCGTAAACCTCACTATGACTGTTGAAGAAGCTGCAATCCATATACCCAAAAAAAAAAGAGTTTTTTCACTAACATAATTATAAATAGAGCGACTTTTTTTGAATGAGAAAATGTAGAAACATTACCAAAACCAAACATGCTGAACGAGTGGACTGCCAGACGACTAATTTTCGATCTCTTGATCTTTTTTAATGAATTGGGATCATCTGATTTGCCTTTGAACTCGATAAATTCTCCTAAAATGTACTTGTTGTCTTTTAGCTCTAACCTGGATTATGTTGAGACAACGACAGTCAATATAAAATCAAGATATGAGTCGAAAATCAAAATGAACTTCAGTTTAATAGTTTCGAAAATAACTGCAATTTCATTACCGTTATATGTTAATTAAATACGGTGTTCCTTTGTAGTTTCTGCTTCTCGTAATTACAGTAGACCACATAGCTATTTTTGTAATTAGAATATTAATTAGTAATCTTTCTTTTAAGACTCAATTATTCAACATCTAATCAGAAAAGTTGGTAACTAGAATATATATAATAGAGAGAATCGCAAAAAATGAAACCGTAAAACAGACCTATCCCAAATTGGGGCAGTGCTGAGAACATAGTTAAGGTTGTCACAAAACGACTCCTGCACTTTCTTCTTTCCAGTAAAAAAAGAGCCTTTGATCCAATTAGAATACAAACTTCTTTGCTCGGGTTTCAAATTCTTCCATTGCTCGTAAGTAATGACCGCATGTGGAAAAGCATCTAGGTTATGGGAGCTGTTCAAACAGCAGTAGAAATTAGAAAGATCAATTTAGATGAAATTATTGCTAACCAAGGATATCTTCTTACAGGGTGCCCCAAAAAAAAATGAAGAAATGTCACTACTACTTCTCTTACTATTCACATCAGTTACTAATATATTCATGGAAAAGTTTACTCTAAAAAATCGAATAAAGTTCAAATTCTACAAACAAACGCAAATTATCTAACTCTAACTCATGAAAGTAAATGTCAAGCCCACAAAAAGTGGGAGGGGGACAAAAAGGATCCCATCAAAAGTATATTTGAAAGAAGAGAGAGAAGCCATACGGAAAACTCGGGCTTGGGCATATAACTGTGAAAGACATATATCCTTTTGGAAGAACAACTCCCCTTTGCTCGAGATATCCTTTAAGGATAGGAACTAATTTTTTAGTTTCAGCTACCTGCATTTAAGTAAAAAACCAAATAAAATAAAAACTCCTGCATGCATAAAGGCTGAAGAAATCCGCTCGAGAAATAAACAAAGTGGAGATTGAGCTCCGTAAAGATCTATACATGAACTCAGATAAGCTATGAAGTAACTAACTAGCTCAGAGTGAACCAAAATCTAGCTCTAACCAAACTGTTAAACAATGTCTAAAGAGGAAAGGAGATAAATATAGGCAGCTTACAGGGTCTGGAAAAATCTCGGTTTTTTCTGTTTTTATATCAGTACACAACCACCGGTTGTCCTTATCAATCGATACGAAACCCGATATGTTATTCTTGACCGAAATCACCACTGCCTTCCTGCATAAACACACTCGGAACATATCTAACAAAGAAAGGGAAAATATAACAAGCACACTGCACATTGAACACTCATTACTACGCACTTCTGTTTATCAAGATAACCAGGTCGAGCAATTGGGAATTCCCTTTTTGAGACTCAGAGGAAAAACTATCATAAGTAACATAATTTCAAGTGACAAAAGCCGATTAATTACTGATTAGTGACGAGAACAAGATCAATATTCTTGCGAGAAGCTGAATCCGGGTCAGGAATCCGGAGCCCCACGTAAACCTTGCATCCATGGCAAAGCTTTTCAAACCTAATTTTCGAGCACCCAAAATGCAAATTATTCACTCTACAGCCCGAAAAAATTATGTAAAAAAAAGTTGAAAAGGGGAAATAGATTGAACCTTTGAGCGACGGAGAAGAGAGAATTGAAATGGGCCGAATCGAGATCGGAGACGGCGTCGTCTTCCCAGAAAAAGCGCTTCACTAAGCGGTAAAGAACCACGCCGCAAACCAGCTCGGTCCACATGCTTGTTGTTGCTTCGATTTTCACGGCTTTTTGAGGAGGAGATTAGATTTCTTTCGATTTTTTTTGGGTTTTGATTAAACGGAAAATGGGTAAGAGGATTGATAAAAAAGAAAAAAAGAAAATGCTTTTGATTCTTAATGCTGAAGAATTCAGAATCGTCTTCTACGTGCCTCTCGCTCAGTTAAGTTACAGAGAAAAGGTGAAAAAGATGTTCTTTATCGTGTGTGTCTATTTTTCGCACGAGTAACGAGGAATCACAAACCTTGACCGGTTCTATGGTTCGACACGTTAAAGTTTCAAATGTACGAATATTTATATTATTTTTATAGTTTGACTCATTAATACTCGAGTTCAATTCATTAATATACATAAACAAGCCGAGCTCAATTACTGGTTCGTATAGTTAACTCTACTCGATCCGTTAAAAGGCTCGAGCTCGAGTACTATAATTTCAACGGTTGATATTTTTATTTTTTTAATGGTTCGTCTTACTCATCCACCCGTTGAAAATTACACAAATAAATATTAACACTGATTTCATCAAATTCACATCCATTCCCAATGCGTTGAACAACCAATACTTGATAATTTCCTCTCATGTACATTTTCAAGTAAAAGGATTCGTAAAACTCTGTCCTTCAGTTTTCTCCTACAGTAATGGCGACCTGTGGCCTCATAGGAACCCAAAAAGTTTAAAAGTACGGGAAGAAAAAAATATAGGTAAAAAGTAAAAACAGAAATCCTTCTCGGCCCAAGCAGTTAAAAATTCCGATCCACCAAAATTCGTCAACTTCGATCGATCGTGTCTCGTAATAAACTCACATCAGTGCCGGTTGACTCTGCATTTACCACAAATCCGAAAAAATCACAACCTCCAAACCCACGATTATAGTCATAATAACTCTTGCTAAAGACCAAAGCATGGTAGAGTCGAAAACAAATCCAATACAAGTCCTCATTTTCAGTCCATGTATCGAAACTCGTGAAGTATTCCATTCAGAAGGGGGGTATATTGGGTATATTGTATTTTACAGGCATCGTGTGATCTAAATCATCCTCCAAGTCACTAAACGATATATCTTCTTCATTTCCCATGACTGACTTCTCCGAATAACCAATAAACTCTGATACATCCTTCAACCAATCATCATCATCATTGTTATCATCATCATCATGATCATAATCCCGTGCAGTTATTGAACTTGAACTCACGATCACCTCTTTCTCATGAAGTTCGGGTGGTGCTAAATCCTCTTTAATGACAGATTTGTCGATAAATTCAATTTCGTTGACCGAGTGTTTTTCAATCTCATGTTTGGCATCTGCCGTTTGGCGCCGCACATGAGACTCAACCAGTGTGACAACTTCGGATGCATTACCATTTCCAAATCGATCGTTGAGTTCATCATCAGAGTGAATGATGAAGTTTTGATGAGGTGAGTATAAAGGTTCGGTACTCAGACTTAGCTCGGGCAACTCCTCTTTGGTCCTTTTCTCTAATTCATGCATCCACATAATCCTTGCTTGGGCAAGCTGTACAAGTCAAATTAACCAAATAAAACCAAACAATTTGTTTCTTTTTGTAATATATATTTGGTTGAGGGAACTGAAAAGAGAATATAAGGACAAAGCAAGAAAATGTACAAGCAGCCAGTCCAATAAGCCATATTACATTCACCTCGCACTAAGACTTTATAAATTTGTCTTCCCATTTTGGAGTTTTGACCATTACCAATGTCTTTTCCTTGCTAACCTTGTCTCAAATTACAATGTACATCCAATTTAAATATTTTGGTAACACGTAGTTATCACAATCGAAACAATACAATTTTCTTCAGGTAAATACATTGTCTGTCACAAAGAAAACCAACTACTTTAATAAACATTCAGGTCCATGCGGTTACAATTAGATATCGATGTAAGTTATGAAGCTCCATCAAAACGAGAAATTCAAGTGAGCCTTCTTGATATTTATGATGCTTACTGATTTTATAAACAGATTAGGCTACACAGTTACAGTATAAACAATATAAGGCGTACGTTTTGAACAAAAGTGTGTTTTGAACTTGAAAACCTGGGTTAAATTAATCTCTTGTTCAAATTCCTCACAGAAGATCAATATGAAATCAGCTCATAGTAAGATTAATAATCTGTGATATGCCTCAATGAGTGCAGAAAATGCGTGTCAAAAATAATTCTCGATTCTACATACTCACTAACCTGTGACGAGGACAATAAGTCAGCATCATGTTTACTTAACCTTGAATGCAAAAGCACAAAGTAGACCATCCAAAAGTATTCCTCACTCATGTGAACCGGACAAAGCTCGATTCTTAGAGCAGCTAATCTTGGTGCTAGATGTTCGACTGCCAATGCATGCTTGAACTGTGCATCGGATATATCGAAGTCTGAAGGAAGCAAAAGAGCAAAAAAAAAAAGATGGGAATGACTGAAAATCATCACAATATTTGATCCTACAGCTATGGACCCAGTTTGTATCACAGAGTGCACCAATATGCAGCGAGCATTCAATCACGAAGAACATATCACAAGGCGAAACCTTTCGATTATCCTTGCTAGTAAGCACACAGTTAATACACAGTGAAAAATCAACATATTTCTCAATTTGAAAATCCTGTTATAACATAACATGACAATAATTTCGGTTCATAGCAAAGTTATACAAGTAAGGCCAAAACCATGTATGGATTCACAACAAAATTCACATAATGGAGCCAACGAAAATCCACAGAAACTAAAAAAATTTCCTCACCGTCGAATTCCTCTTCCTCCGACAACGGAAAATCAAACCACGTCTCTGGGTGATGCGCGATATCCCTCGCGAAGGCTAAAACTTCTTCAGTAATCCCAATTGCGTCCTCCACAAAATCTGGATGATAATCCTCCTCCGACGGCTCCAATTGGCCAGTCTCTCCGCCGCCACGCGCCACGGATTCATAACCTGACCTCGGAAATAACGGCGGTGGAGGAGGGGGAGGGGGCGGAGGAGCGAGAAACGAGGCGACGCCCCAGAGTTGACGCGCGAGGCTGTCCTTCAATTCCGACAAATCCTCCTTCACCCCACGCCGATCATCAACTCCGGAGGCATCTTCTTCCTCCCCGAAGCTGCTGCGTCCGCCGCCGTCGCTCGACGACCGACGATCTCCGGCGGAGAGCGCGTTGTCGCGCGGCGGATCTTCTGGAGGAACGACGTCGTACGTGGCCCCGCCCTCCTCGTCGGGCCCACCTTCATCTTCGCCGTCGAGGCGGAGGGAATTGGCGATGGAGCGAGCCAGCCATGACATGTTGGTACGGCGTCGTTTTGCTCGAGTGAGATCCACCTGAAATTTTGAAAAAAGAAAAAATGTTTCTTGCAGTAGGTGGACGTTTGATGAGGTCTGAAATTATTTTGTCTTGGCATGCTTTTTTTAAAATTAATATGACTTTTCCTAAAAAAATATATGAAGACAATCTAATTTTTAAACTTTTATCTATGTATATATATAAAATATATATGTAAAAAATCAATACATATTGATTATTCTATCAACTTTTCACATACAAACACCAAAGTAAGCATCATTTTATAACTTTTGTTTTTAATTTAATACTCATTGAGGACATATAAAACTAAAATTATTGTTTTTATATATTTATATGAATTTGTTGTTGTCATAACTTATAATATAGGTTGTAACAATTAGTTGAAATGATATTTTTATTTTAATATTGCATTTTTTTTTTTTATGGTTTGAATGTATATTTTTATTTAATGATAACTTGTTTATTTCATTAAATGCTTTCAAAAATCAAATAAAAAAAAAATACAAATATCAGTAATGCATTTGGATGAAATGCATTTTGATTTATTTATTTTTCAATTAAAAACAACTATAAATGTTATCTCTAAGTGTAATATAGATTATTATTAATACTTCGATTATATCAGATATTTGAGATAGTAAAACCAACACCGACTGAATAACCGAATTTTTAAAAACTAAAACCGAATAATGATTTACTAATATAAAAAAAAGTACCAAAATAAGAATTTCGGTTGGTTTCGTTCGATTTTTTTGGTCTTAATCAAACTTTGAACACCCCTACACATATTGGAGAACAATTGCTTTTTGATAACAATTAGATAGGATAAAGGAAGCATAAAGACCAATGCGTATCACAAGCTTATGCTTCGCATGATCATAGGCAGTTTGTAGCATTCTAGTATTATCACAAGTAGATTTGTAGGAGCATCACATAATACCAAAATCAACTAACAACCATCGAAGCCATATAATTTATAGTGTTAGTGGCAAGTGCTCAAAGTTTTGCCCCTATGCTAAAGCGCTTCTTGAACTTCCATGTAAGAGGAGAAAACCAAGAAAAAATCCAATAACCAGTAACAGAACATCTATCTGTTGGGTTACTCGCCTAAGTAGAGTCCGTGTAAGCACAAAGCTGAAGTAGACTATCACGAGCATAAAACAAACACTAAGATGATATGCCCCTTAAACACCGTAACACACTAAACAAATGTCCAAAATGACTGAAGTATGACAAACTGAATCAACATATAAACAATATGAACAATGTCAGGCTTGGTAACATGGTAACAGTAAAATAAATCAGACTGCCCACAATATGGCGATATCAAGACGGATTCTCAAGAGGCATACCATCAGTAGGTCGAAGCTGCAAGTGAAGATCCATAGGCGTAGTCGTTGTCTGATTATTAGTAATATCAGAGCGAACAAGAAGATCTTATATGTATTTGGACTAAAAAAAGTAATACCTCGAGTCAAGGTGCATCACCTCAATGCCCAAAAGTAATTAAGATGACCCAAATCAAACATTTGAAATTGCTGACCAAGTTGTTTCTTGAAATGATATCTATGTTTTGCATCATCCCTGTAATCAACATATCATCAATATATAAAAGAAGTAGAGTACGTCCACGTGGAGAAAGACGAATAAACATCTGCAAGTGAAGATCCATAGGCGTAGTCGTTGTCTGATTATTAGTAATATCAGAGCGAACAAGAAGATCTTATATGTATTTGGACTAAAAAAAAGTAATACCTCGAGTCAAGGTGCATCACCTCAATGCCCAAAAGTAATTAAGATGACCCAAATCAAACATTTGAAATTGCTGACCAAGTTGTTTCTTGAAATGATATCTATGTTCTGCATCATCCCTGTAATCAACATATCATCAATATATAAAAGAAGTAGAGTACGTCCACGTGGAGAAAGACGAATAAACATGGCAGGATCTTAATCACTAGGAGAAAAAACCAGCAGCCCATACACCATGGAGCATGTTTTGGACCATATAATGCTAGTATTGTTGCTAGAGGCTTTCAAAGACTCTGGCAAGGGATTATGATGATACATTTGCTCCTCTTGCTCACATGACCACTACCACTGTTCGTACTTTAATTGCGGTGGGTGGCTGCTAATCGTTCTTTGAGCATATCTCATATGGATATGATATATACTTAACAACTACAAGAACATCTCTCCTATTTTCTTTTAGGGCTTCCTAGTTCATTTGCTTAAACACTTAGAACATAAATAATAAAATTTGACACAACAAAATAAATATAATAAGGTGCGCCACAACAGACTTAATTATCACAAGGTCATAAGATTAAACATGGTCATATGCAGCATATTTGCATGCATTTTAATTACACTCCATAAACATCTTTCAGTGAACTTGTGTATTACTAGCACATTTGGATATAAATTATTTCATTTGGGCGTCATCAACGCTTTTGCGCATAAGTGATATAACATGAGCAGGATCCGGAGCTCCGAACACAGAACTTCCGGCCACGATGCAGTTTGCACCTGCATCGGCTGCCATATCTATAGTCGAAGGTCCTAAACCACCGTCAACCTGAAAACAGAACAAACTCTCCTCACTGATCGGTTGAAGCTTTAAAAATGGAGGGATAATATATCACCTAGAAGTATACCTATGTAACCAGATTTCTCATTTTTGTATGTTTCAACATTTTTTTTTTTTTATGGGGATGCAAAGTTCGACCTATTTTTAGATTTTTCTTGTATAAGAAAGAGTTTTGGGGAAGTTTGTTCGAAAGCCTGTTAATCATTTGCTAGTAAAATCTAGTACACAGATGAAAAGAATAATGAAATAAACACGAGTATAATGCGAAACGTAAGAATACACAGAAATTATCGAAAGATGGAAAGTCACCTCTATATCAAGTGAAGGGTACTTCTTTCTTAGAGTACGAACCTGAAATTCACAAACACGATTATATGAAAAAGTAACAGATTCTATGAAAAAAGGTAAATAAAATCTGAACAATAACGGCTTATGCCACCTTATCCATCATTTCTGGCATAAACTTCTGCCCACCAAATCCAGGTTCCACGGTCATAACAAGTACCATTTCCACAGGATTTTTGTCTTCAATCTTTGAACATGGACAAGCAATAAAGGATGGAAATACATTTTAATAACAATAATACTCTCTAGCTTCCTAATACTGTTTTATATCCCATTTGGTTCATATTATTGAGAATATTGTACCAGTGGGTACACTTCTTCAATAGGGGTTCCAGGCTTTAAGGAAACACCAGGCTTCATACCCTTTGATTTGATTTGTTGAACAAGCTCTCGCCAATTATCTGTGACAAAGGAACTTATTTCATTTCATCTTTAACAAGCTTTAGGTAACATTCAATTTCAATAGCCAATTGTGTCCGACTTAAATCTGTGAAGATTTGCATAACTTTATTTTTTTTTTTTTTTTTTTTTTTTGTTTTAAAGAGAGGATAGAAAACATAATTCCACCTTTTGAGGCTTCCACATGAAAAGTAAAACCAGAAGCACCCGCTTTTCCTAATGGCTCGACGTAATCTATAGGATTTGTGACCATTAGGTGGCAATCTAAGTAAGCGCTGCAAAAGACCAATGCTCACATTCATTAAAAACGAACACCTAAGTTGACATAAAAGTTACCGTTCAAGTTATATTTGATCAATGAATGAAGTGTTTTACTCTGTGTGCTTTCTCAGACTCTCGATAACTGGAGCACCAATGGTGAGGTTTGGTACAAAGTGACTGTAAAACACGAAATAAACATCAGCAAATGCCAAATAATATTATTTTCGCATTTCCTTACATTTCAAATATATTCCACGCTTGGTATCCAATAAGGACATACCCATCCTGCAATTAAACCAAAAAGGTTTAGAGTTATAGCCTTTAGTCTTTCACATGTTCTCCAACAAACTTCACAAAAATACAGACAATCACAGCAAAACTTAGGCAGAAAAGCATTCGATTTTGTGAAAATTAACACATTTCCAGTCACGCAAGAAAAGAAAACCAAAAAAAAAGACAAAAAAAAAAAAAAAAAAAAAAAAAAAAAAAAAAAAAAAAAAACAGATAGCACGACAAGTAGGAACTAACAATTCATCCACAACAAAAAAACGATGAAGATGCTGGTAATTCTGTTTGAGAATACAATATATACATTAAAATTAGCACACAAAAAAAATATCAGGTAGCATAAATAGAGCTCAATTTTCCCAAATCCTTTTGGACAGTTAACAATTTGTAAGTCCTTAACACTAAAAAAGTAAAAATCAGCTAAAGATCAATCCTTACTACTTTGCAGACTTGCAGTTAATCAAACCTAAACAACACAGGCACTTTAATGGAGTCTTTGCCCACCTCAATTCAGCTGATTCCAGAAAATATAAATTAAAATCTTGATCGAAGCTAAATTTACCATAATATCCATGTGCAGCCAATCTGCACCGCATCGGACCATCCGCTCGGCCTCCGATGCCAAATTAGAGAAGTCCGATGACAGCATCGACGGCGCGATTATCGGCTTCACCATTTTCACTACAAACATAAACAAAAAAACACTTACACCTGACATTCATATAAATTATACACAATCCTTAGCCCGATAATATAAAATCCTTAGCCACTCTAACACAAATTATACACAATCCTTCTAGTTTTTATCCAAGATCTGATGCAGCCTGTATACGAGTGCCACCAAGCTTACCGGAAGGTGGGCTTCGAGTGGTACCGGAAGGTGGCCGTTTGGCGGTGCGTGGTGGTTGTTGCGTCCTGTCTCCTATGCGAACATCGGCTGGGGCCCTAGGTAGCCGGGGGAAATGGCGGCGCCGGCAGGAATCCTGGAATGAGGAACAGGGAGCAAGGAGGCAGTGAACTGAAGAGATTGAGAAGA